TTGAGCCACATGCAGCTCTTTGGCCCCTTGAGTGTGGCTCTTCCACAAAATACCACGTGCGGGCGTGCATGTACAGTGCTAATGAAACTTCGTGGCCCATGTGCAGAAGTCAGTTTTTGGCTCTCAAAATAAATTTCAGTTGTTGTACTGTTGATATTTGGCTCTGTTAATTAATGAGTTTGCCGACCACTGTCTTAGTCAATCATTAAGCAAAATTTCACCTACAAAACTCAGTGATCTAAAGTTTTAGGTTACTCTTCCTCAGTAAAATGTGTTGGGAATTATAGAGGAAAAAAGAAACATTGTTTTAATCAGGAAAATCTCAAGAGTCAGAGGCATTGTGAGATAAAAGGTAAGTAACAAACCAAAATATATGTAGAGGTTAGTATTTTAACACTGGAAGACTATGATGGCAAGTCATAGCCGACATTATACCATCAAAACTTTTTAAAATTTTGTAATGATAATGAGATTTTACAACTAGACGGTGGCAAAGGTAAATGGGGGAAATACTACTTACTTTGGGAAAGTAATAAAACTATATCAATAGCATTTATTTTAAAACTCATACTGCCCTAGGCAGTTTGGCTCAGTGGATAGAGCATTGGCCTGGGGAATCAAAGGATCTCAGGTTCAATTCCGGTCAAGGGCAGGTATCTGTTTCAGGCTCCTCCACCAGCCCGGGAGGAGGCAATCAATGGATGTGTTCTCTCAGATTGATGTTTCTCTCTCTTTTCCTCTCTCCCACTCTCCCTAAAAATCAACGGAAAAATATCCTCAGGCGAGGATTAATAACAACAACAACATGAGAGATTACACTAAACAATTGGACAAACTTATTTTCTTCCATAAAGGAACACAGAGTAAGTTTTCGTTTTCTTTTTTTTTTTTTTTATAATATTTTTATCGATTTCAGAGAGGAAAAGAGAGATAGAAACATCAATGATGAGAGAGAATCATTGATTGGCTGCCTTCTGCATGCCCCCCATTAGGGATTGAGTCTGCAACCTGGGTATGTGCCCTTGACTGGAATCGAACCTGGGACCCTTCAGTCACAGGCTGATGCTCTATCCACTGAGCCAAACTGGCAAAGGCCAGAGTAAGTTTTCTTATTAAAAGCTTGCATCAAAGATTTATTTTGCTCCAAATCTACATATCGTTTATCACCTAAAAATAAATTTATGTATACTTACCATTAATATTCCTCAATCAAGAGAAATTTTAGAAATCAGTAATATAAAGCTAATCAGGTCAATATCTATGTTGCACAAATGGAACTTTTAAGTTTGTTTCCCACATTCTTCTGAAAGAGCTTATTTTAATCCACAAAATATAAGACCTGTCAGGACTTCCATATTTTTATTCTTGCTGGAATACTGTCTACAGAAGTCCTGGAACATGGGAAAATATTGACATTTAAAGATTTTAGATGGTTTCAACTTTTAAAAACAGCAACTTTCCTATCATGCTGATTTTTATTGAACAATAGTTATTGAATAGGGAAGGTACCTTTGTAATTACTAGAAACAACTTAGCTTATTAAATTTCAGTTAATTCTTCTGCTTATTAATGTACTTTTTAGGCATACCACCCTATAATTTGATAGGTCCATATTCAGAATTCATTACTCCTGAAATAATTCTTCCAGAACATGGTCCTTAAACCGTTTAGAAACATCCCAGTAAGATACTAGTAGCTGTGAGTTGGAAAGGGTCCCAGCAGGAAACAGAGGGCATACTCAAATAGGATAATTTGAGAAGGGCTTAATAGAGATACCATAGATATTTGGTGAAGGTTTATGGAAATCACAAAGGAGAGCACTATTATCATGCCTAAGATTAAAGGGGCGAGATGAGGGAATGGGTATCAGAACACAGAGGGAGCAATGCGTACAGTAGGCCACTGTGAGAGGAGCTGTAATTATAGGATGAAGGACAAAACAAGATTGAGGTAACTCCACAGAGAAGGAGTCAGGAAATAAATATCCCAAATCTACTCTTTGCCTTCTCTTTGACCTGATGCCAGGCTTTCCAATTGGCTAAACTGCACTGTGAAACATGGCAGCCTAGTCACAGATGGCTACTGAGTGCTTGAAATGTGGTTGTAAAACATACACCAGATTTTGAATCTTTAATATCAAAGTATGTAAAATATCACATTAACAATTTTATACTAATTAAAAATAGTTAGTATAATATTTTGAACATACGTATTCAAGGCACATATTAAATATTAACATATATTATTAAACTAGAGACCCGGTGCATGGATTTGGGCACTGGAGGGGTCCCTCAGCGTGGCCTGCAGGGATGGAGCCAAAACCGGCAGTCTAATGCCACCTGCTGCTCTTGATTGCCACTCTAGCCGCCACCGCTCGGTAGGCTCGCTGCCATTCTGCTGTGGTTTCTGGGCTGCAGCAGCCAGCTGTGAGCCCTGCATCTAGTGACTGTCAGTCAACTGAGCAGTACTCCCACTGTGGAAGTGCATTGACTACCATGGGGCAGCTTCTGCATTGAGCACCTGCCTCCTTGGGGTCAGTGTGCATCACAGCAACCAGTCTATCAAACGATCGACCAGTCGACTGGTCACTTAGGCTTTTATTATATACTAGAGGCCCAGTGCATGAAATTCATGCATGGGGGGGGGGGGAGTCCCTCAGCCTGACCTATACCCTCTCCAATCTGAGAGCCCTCAAGGAATGTCCTACTGACAGCTTAAACCTGCTCCCCATGGTTCTCTGCTCTTTGTGGGGTCTGCTTGCTCCACACCATGGCTATGGCCAAGCAGACCCTGCTATCTGCTATCAAGCTGTGTGATTGCCCTTACCTCCTGGGGTGGTGATGGTCCCAGGAGGCTGTGGGCTTGAAGCCTGTCCTTGAGACCCAGGCTTGATGCCTACGTATGTAAATTAACATACCATATTTGTTAGGTTCTTTTGCATACTCACTCCTGATTGGCTGGTGGGTGTCACAGAGGTATGGTTAATTTGCATATTTCTCTTTTATTAGTGTAGAGGCCTGGTGCATGAAAATTCATGCACTGGAGGAAGGAACCTTCGGCCCCATCTGTTCCCTCTCATAGTCCAGGAGCCCTCAGGGCAAGAGGCAATCTGGCAATCAGGGGAAGGGGATGTTCCATCACACCTCTGCTGCTGCCACTGCTGGCAGCGCAAACCTTGAACAGCCCTGGTTACCTGAGCATCAAGTGGCACTGGGTGGTTGGGCAGTCATCATCCAAGGCTTACCTGTGCCTCAGGCTGCCCCTGGGCAGCTGATGGGATGAGGGGACTGGGGGACTCCAGAGGCAGGCATGTGGAATGGCCAGGGTTGTCTCAGGGCGGGCTCGGGGACTGGGCGCTGCCATCTTGTGGCTGTGGGAGCTGCCATCTCTGAGGGCGTGGCAGTCAATTGGCATATTTCCTCCTTATTGGCTGTGGGCACTGCCTTCTTTGTGATGGTGTGAGGGTCAATTAGCACATTCCCCCCTTCATTAGATAGGATTCTATATAATAAAAGGCTAATATGCAAATTGACCAAATGTTGGAATGAGTGGTTGCTATGACATGCACTGACCATCAAGGGGCACACACTCAGCACAAGAGCTGCCCCCTGGTGGTCAGTGTGCTCCCACAGGGAGTGCGCCGCTCAGCCAGAAGCTGAAGTCATGGTTGACGAGTATAGTGGTAGTGGCAAGAGCCTCTCCCACCTCTATGGCAGTGCTAAGGATGTCCAACTGCTGGCTTAGGCCTGCTCCCCATGGGCCTAAGCCATCAGTCAGACATCCCTCAGGGGCTCCCGGACTGTGAGAGGATGCATGCAGGCCAGGCTGAGGTACTCCCCCCACTCCTGTGCACAAATTTTGTGCACCAGGCCTCTAGTAGATATATATTTATCAGTACATTCAATATGCTATATAAAAATAATATACAAAATATATTCTTAATACTAATTTCACCTATTTCTTTAAAAAATGTTTAAATATGCTACTAGTCTTAGCTGGTTTTGCTCAGTAGATAGAACACCAGCCCTTGGACTGAAGGGTCCCTGGTTTGAGACTGGTCAAGGTCACAAACATCAGTTGAAGGCTCAATACCCAATGAGGGAGGCAACCAATGGATGTGTCTCTCTCACATTGATGTTTTTCTCTCTCTGTCTCTCCCTCTACCTTCCATTTTGTTTAAAAATCAATGGAAAAATATTATTGGGTGAGGATTAACAAAAACACAAACAAAAAATGTGCAACTGGAAAATTAAACATTTTTATATAACTATTAAAATTTTTAAAATATCTTTATGCAGCCCTGGCCAGTGTGGCTCAGTTGATAGAAGTGTTGTCCCATACACCAAAAGGTCACCAGTTCAATTCCCTCTATCCCCATTAGGGCATATTCCTAGGTTTTGGGTTTGATCCCTGACTCTAGTCCAGGTGCATGAGGGAGGCAACTAATCAATATTTCTCTCTCTCTTCTTTCCCCTCTCTCTAATAATAATAATAATAATTTTTTAAAAATCAATGGAAAATGTCCTTTGGTAAGAATTAAATAAATGTATCATTTCTCTTGGAAAGCACTGAAATAAACCACCAGAAATGAGAGGATAAAGAAGTCTATTGATGCAGTTAATTACAACCTCTATGCCGTTAATTACAGGCCAACCTCCTACAGCAGAAAGTGGGATAGAGAAAAAAGGCGAGTGGATATGGAGGGGCCAACAAAGATATCTGGCTAAGGCTTTTAATAAAATTAACATTAAAAAGATTTTTCCTGAGGCCGGCACGGGGCTGGGGCTCAGCTGGCCCGCCTGGCTCTGGGCTACGGGCCTTCCCAGCCGGGGACTCTGCGCCTGCACCCGGCCGGCTGCGGCCCGCTCTAACGGCGCGCTGCCTGGGTGTCTGGGCAATCCATGGGCAGTGGCGGCGAGGGCCACAATGACAGACTACGGCGAGGAGCAGAGCAACAAGCTGGAGGCTCTGTAGTCCACCTACCCCGACACCTTTACAGTATTATCAAAAGACCTTCCTAGTTTCACCATTACTGTGACATTCTAGGCTAGAGAAAATGATGAAACTGTACAGTCTACCCTCAAGTTTACATATAGTGAGAAATACCCAGATGAAACCCCCCTTTATGAAATATTCTCCCAGGGAGCAGCCAGGCCCGGAGCGGCTGGGCCCAGAGCAGCTGGGCCCAGAGCAGCCGGGTTGGGTGCGGCCATGCCCAGAGCAGCAGCAGCCAAGCCCGGAGCTGCCAGGTCGGAGCGGCCGGGCCCAGAGCAGCCGGGCCCAGAGCAGCCGGGCCTAGAGCAGCCGGGTCGGGTGCAGCCAGGCCCAGAGCAGCTGGGCCCGGTGCAGCCAGGCTGGGAGCGGCAGTGGCCAGACCCGGAGCAGCTGGTTGTGGAACGAACCAGAGCAACAGAGGCCAGGCTCGTAGCAGACAGGCCCGGAACAGCTCTCTCCTTGCCTGCCCCCGCCCCAAGGCTGCCTCTCAGACATGGCTGGAAACTTTTGGGGGAACTTGAGGGTCTGCTGAATCAAATGAGGAATGCTTAGATCTGGATGTGTTGAGTTAGTATAGCGCTGGGGTGTTGATCTGTGAGTGCCTTGTGTGGGGCCTGGATGAGGTTGATTGATCTATTTGGAAATGTCTTTTGTGTGAAGTGTATCCTTGGGCATGTGGAGGTATTATTGATTTGAGAAAATGCTAAGTAACTGATTTACTATCTGAAAAATTTAAAGTTCTGAAAGTTTAAGGTCTCTTGCCAAAAAGAGGTTTTAAAGCTAACATCTTAATTTTAATAAAGGGGAAGACAAGCCTTTCCCACCCAGAACAGGTAATCCAATTCCAAACAGTAGCCATCTTTAAACAATGTGTCCATTTACACTTGAATGGCTATACCTTTTGATAGCCTAAGGGCAAGTTTACATGTAAACAAGTTTGCTTCTCAATTCCCAGGACAGAAAAAAAACAAGGTTTAAAATTATTAGATTTTAAAATTTATTCTTAGAAGTGTAAAAGTTTATTAATTAAAAAAACCACCACAACAACAACAACAAAAAGGAGATTGAAAAACCTGATGAACAATAATAGCTGTTCATTGTAGTAGAGTCAGAGATATGGGAGGGGAGTGGACTGACTGTTCTTGGGGAAAGGGGAAGTGGTGGAGGGGGAAAGAGACTGAACATAAACTGTGCACCTATGGATGAGGACAATGCGGGGTGTGGAGGGGGCGGAGGGTAGGGTGGCAACCTGGTGGAGGGGGGAAGAAATGAGGAACCTTTGAAATAATATGAACAATAAAGATTGATTTAAAAAGAAAAAAAAGAAAAAAGAAATATTTTCCCAGGAAAATCTAGAAGATAATGATGTCATAAGCATCTTAAAATTATAAGCATTACAGCAGAAGAAAACCTTGGTATGGTGATGACCTTTACTTTGGTAACAGCCGTCCAAGAAAAATTAAATGAAATAGTGGATCAAATAAAAACTAGAAGAGAAGAAAAAAAAAAGAAGAAAAAAGAAAAAGAAGCAGAAGAAGCCGAAAAGCAATTATTGATATTTCATGGCACTCCTGTTACAATTGAGAATTTCTTTAGTTGGAAAGCCAAATTTGATGCAAAACTCTTGGAAATTAAAAAGAAACGAATGAAAGAAGAAGAACAAGCAGGAAAAAATAAATTAAGTGGGAAACAGCTATTTGAAACAGATCATAATCTTGACACATCTGATATCCAGTTCTTGGAGGATGCTGGAAACAATGTGGAGGTAGATGAGTCTTTGTTCCAGGAAATGGATGACTTGGAGCTGGAGGATGACGAGGATGATCCAGACTATCGATACAATCCTGCTGACGCGGAGAGCGACTTGACCGATTGATGGACCATCCCCGTCTGCAGAGGCTTGACTGCCGGGGGTAGCATCTGTGGCTAGGCCGGGAGGGTGTTGATTTTCCTGCCTTTTTTTCTAAGAAAAAAAATTTTTTTTCAGGAGAATATTCTTCTGAAAGCTTTCATCAATGAACTAATAAACTGACCTTAAAATTTCAAATAAAAAAATAAAAATATAAAAAATAAAAAAATAAACAGATTTTTCCTAAGAAATGGGATATTTTTGGTGGTGATTTCTATTGTTGGCCTGCAGAATTATTGTTATCAACCTTGTTAGGATTTTCCACATCAATGAAGACCAGCATTTCTTAAAAACAGCATTGAGGTGGACCAAATAATCAGATGAGTCGTTTAGAATTGCAAGTTTTAGTTTTTGTGCATGTTCCATCTTGCTAAACCTTAATTATAAGTTGAAATTTATATTATGGAAGTATCTTTAGGTCTTTAAAAAAAATAGCTATAGTTGTCCTGACAAGTAGAAGCCATCATTAAGATGTTTTTTTTCAGGATAGTGTTTTGATAAAAACATTGATATGATTAAACATTTTTAGTAAAAATTAATATATAAACATATTTGATTAAAAAATCTTGTTGAGAAAACTTTAATTTTAGTCATTCATCTATTTATTAAACAAACTAGAGGCCCAATGCACAAAAATTTGTGTAAGAGTAGGCCTTCCTTCCCCCGGCTGCCAGTCCTCCTCCAGCCGCCCCCCCAGGCACCTGGGACCCAGGCTGGCTTCCCTTCAGCCCTGGCTTGGTCAGGAACGACATCAGGAATGACATCTGGAAGATGTCTGGTCGAATTAGCATATTATCCTTTTATTATTATAGATATTAAATTTTAGCACCTTTTATATTCAACCATTGAGCTTAAAGTAAGTCAATAATATTAATTCCGCGGAGACCCGTTTGGCTCAGTGGATGGAGCATGGGCCTGCGTACTCAAGGGTCCCAGGTTCGATTCTGGTCAGGGGCATGTACCTTGGTTGCAGGCATATCCCCAGTGGGGGGTGTGCAGGAGGCAGCTGATCGATGACTCTCTCTCATCAATGCTTCTAACTCTTTATCTCTGTCCCTTCCTCTCTGTACAAAATTAATAATATATATATATATATATATTTAAATAATAATAATAATATATATATTAATAATAAATAATAGTAATAATAAAATAATAATAATATTAATTCCATGAAGTTTTATATTGTTGTGGCAGAAGGCATAGGAGAATGATTGGCCAGAACTCTGAGGGAGGTAAGTTTAACCTTTATTTTACAGATCTGCTCTTCCAGGGGAATTCTGGATCCAAAGGCTGAACTGTACTCATGGGAAGGCTCTGACCTATATTTCTCCTCCTGTGGAGGCCCCTGAGGTGGGGCCCTGGGGTTAGGCTGGGCAGCTCCACCAAGTCAGTCAGAGTGGGGAAGTAAGACTATATTTTAACCAGATACTGAACTGGGTTGCAAGCACCTCCCTTTATGTTCCTTTTCAATATATTTAGAAGGAAGGAAAACAGGCTATGTATAAACAATGACTGCAGTGATAATTTTAGATTATTTTTATAGATTAGAATGGTGAATTTGTGTGTGTGTGTGTGTGTGTATTAGTTTTTATTGCTGTATAACAAATTACCATAAATTTTAGCAGTGTGAACATCATCAAATAATTACCTTAAGACTCTGTTGGTCAGAAGTCTGGCACAGTGGGACTGGGTTCTCAAAGGCGAAAATCAAGGTGTTGTCTGGGATTCACTATTTAGCTGAAGGCTCTGGAAGAAAAAAGATATGCTTATGTCAAAGAAAAACATACAAATCTCTCAAAAACTGTGATGAGTTTATTTGAGCCAACAAATAAGGACAAGTCTAGAACATTTGAGAATATGCTGCAGGGAATGGTAGTTTTGCAGTCCATTTTATAGATATACATTAGAATTAAAGGAGTAAACATAAAAAAAAGTTTACAGAAATCCATTGACAATAGATTAAGGAGGCAAGAGAAAGCAAAGTGGGGAAGTCTCTAGAACTGGATAAAAGCCCAAAGGAGAGATACAGACTCACTTCTTTTACATGGGTGGGTACAGACAGTTAACATTTAACATTAACAGTAAGTAGAAATGATAAGAGGGCAACAAGATAACAATGAGTTTAGTGGTGTCATGCTCTGGTGCCTGTGGGCTGTGCCTCAAGGGGTCTGGAAAAAGAAAATTACTCTGACCTTCAATGGTATGTTATCCTACAAACAATAGATAGGGCTCACAAAGTAAAGACTGACCTTTGCTAAGGAGGAAACAGGCTTGGGATGTGACTATGGACTACCACCATGACCTGCCCAGTTAGGAATTTGTGATCAGGACATCCTGTGTGGTTACCTTCAGTCACCGAGCTTGCCATAGCCCTCTTCTCATTCACATTTCCAAACTCATTGCTGTTACGAGCAGAATTCAGTTCCTTGTGGTTGTAGGAATGAGATTCTTGTTTCCCTGCAGGCTGTTAGAGGGGGCTATATTCTCACCTCCCATGATTTGTTCACATTCTTCTTTTTTTTTTTTTAAATATATTTTATTGATTTTATACAGAGAGGAAGGGAGAGAGAGAGATAGAGAGTTAGAAACATCGATGAGAGAGTCATCGATCAGCTGCCTCTTGCACACCCCCCACTGGGGATGTGCCCGCAACCAAGGTACATGCCCTTGACCGGAATCGAACCCGGGACCCTTCAGTCCCCAAGCCGACGCTCTATCCATTGAGCCAAACTGGTCCTGGCTTGTTCACATTCTTGGGTTTCTTCCATCTTTTAAGTCAACCATGGCATGTGAAATCCTTCTCAGGCTTTGAATCTCTGACTCCTGCTATCAGGCAGAGAAAGTTATCTATTTTTAAAAGGCTCATTTGATTAGGTCAAATCAACCCTGTTAATATCCCTATTTTAAGGTCAACAGATTTGGGACTTTGATTCTATCTCCAAAATCTCTACAGCAGGGGCTAGATTAATGCCCCCGAGGTTGTAATTAATCGCATCAATAAGTAACTGGAGCAAGGCACACATGTACATCAGGGCCAGGAATCTTGAGGGGCTATCTTTGAATTCCATTTACACAGATGGTCAGGAAAGAAAAAGCCTCCCTGGGAACTAAGGCCTGAATGATGATGGGGGAAAAAAGACCTAAAAAGATCTGGAGAACATTTCCATCACCCTATAAGGTGGTTTATAATAATTCCTCATTCCCAACACCAAGTCCCAGGCAATCACTAATCTACTTTCTATCTTTATAAATTTGTCTTTATGGACATTTCATATGAAGTAATCATATAATATGCATCCTTGTATGACTGTCTTCTTTCACTGAGGTTCATCCATATTGTAAACATATATCTGTACTTCGTTTCTTTTTATGTTAGAACTAGAGGCCCTGTGCATAAAATTTGTGCACAGGGGGAGGAAGTGTCCCTCAGCCCAGCCTGCACCCTCTCCAATCTGGGACCCCTCGAGGGATGTCTGACTGCCGGTTTAGGCCTGATCCCTGTGGGCCTAAACCGGCAGTCTGACATTCCTCTTGCAGTCTAGGATCACTGGCTCCTAATCACTCACCTGCCTGCCTGTCTAATGCCCCCAACTGCCCTCCCCTGCCAGCCTGGTCATCCCAAACTGCCTTCCCCTGCCAACCTGGTTGCCCCAACAACCTTCCTTTGCTGGGCTGGTTGCCCCCAACTGCCCTCTCCTGCAGGCCTGGTCATCCCCAACTGTCCTACTGGGCTGGCCTGTTCACCCCTAATCCCCTGCCAGCCTGATCTTGCCCCTAACTGCCTCTGCCTAGGCTCCCATCACCATGGCTTTGTCCAGAAGGAAGTCGGACATCCGGAAGATAGTCAGTTGACCCTGTCTAATTAGCATATAACCCTTTTATTAGTATAGATAGTATTGTAATGTATGGGTAGAACTTGTTTTTTTCACTCATTTCTCAATGTTTCTATTTGGGGGGGATATTATAAATAATGCTACTATAAATACTCATGTATAAGTCCTTGTGTGGATATGTATTTTCACTGGTCCTGGGTAGATATGTAGGAGTGGAATTGCTGAGTCATGTGATAAGTCTATGTTTAACTTTTCATGAAAAAATTATTTTTCAAAGTAGCTCCAGAAATTCATACATTCCTGCCAGCAATGTATAAAAGTTCTAATGTTTCCACACCCTTGTCAATGCCTTTCATAGCCATCCTGTGGGTGCAAAGTGGTATCTCATCATGGTTTTGATTTGCATTTCCCTAATGAAGTTGAACATGTTTTCACATGAGTTCTCGGACATTTTATATCTTTTTTTGAGAAATTTTATTACAACCATTTTTGCATTTTCACATGTGCTATCTTTTCATTATTGAGTTGTAAGTGTTCTTTTTATAGTATTCTGGATAAAAGTCACTGATCAGATTTAAAAAAAAAAGATTTTGAGAAAACTTTCTAACCACTGAGAATAGCAAGAGTCAAGACCCAGAGACATGTCCCAATTGGTCTGGCTCAGTGAATAAAGAGTCAGCCTATAGTCTCAATGATGCTACTATAAATACGGGTTTGATTCCAGTCAAGGGCACATGCCCCTGTTGCAGGCTTGATCCCTAGTGGGCATGCAGGCTCAATCCCCAGGAGGCAGCCAATCAATGATTCTCTCTCATCATTGATGTTTCTTACTTTCTCTCCCTCTCCCTTCCTCTCTGAAATCAATAAGAATATTTTTAAGAATATGCACTGATTATAGCTTCATTTTTTATTTTTTAAAAAAGAGCTTGAGACAAGGTAGTGATTTTTTAATTCAAAAAACAGAAATATAAAGGTGATGTATTGTAGAATTGTATACTAGAAACCCGTATAATTTTATTAACCAATGTCAACCCAATAAATTCAATTAAAAAATAATTAATTAATTAATTAAATGTAAGAAAATACACACATCAAAAACCAAAAGGGAAAAGGATTAAGAAGTATAAATTTGTAGTTATAGAACAGTCATGGGAATGTAAAGTATACTAAAGGGAATATTGTAATAACTATGTATGGAGTCAGATGGGTACTAAATTTATTGGGGTGATTCCTTCATAATTTGTATAAATGTCTAATCATGGATTGTACATCTGAAACTAGTGTAATATTGTATGTCAACTAAAATTGAA